GCTGTTTCCAAAACTTTTTCACCACCCCAAACAGAAACTGTACCCATTAAGCATTAATTCCCCACATGGATTAACAGCCCTGGTAACCACTAATGTACGTTCTGTCTCTATGCATTTACCTAATCTAGATTTTTTTTTTTATGTGTGTGTGGTGAAAGTTTACAGAGCAAATTAGTTTCTCATTAAACAGTTAATACACAAATTGTTTTGTGACAGTAGTTGCCAACCCTTTGATGTGTCAACACTCACCCCTAGTCTAGATTTTTCATATTAAGTGGAATCATACAATATTTCTCCTTTTTGTATCTGAGTTATTTTACTTCAAGTAACGTTTTCAAAGTTCATTCATTGCTTTTTATGGCCAAATATTATTCCATTGTATGTATAGGAGAAAGATGTGGCAGTCTGCTTCTATAAAGATTTACAGCCTAGGAAACCCTATGGGCAGTTCTACTCTATCCTATAGGGTTGTCATGAGTCGGAATTGGTCAGATGGCCGTGTTTTTTTTTTTTTTGCTTAGACAACGTTTTGTTTACCCGTTCATCTGTTGGTAGACATTTGGTTTTTTCTACCTTTTGGCTACCATGAATAATACTGCAATGGACATTTATGTACAAGTATCTGTTTGAGTCCCTGCTTTCAAGTCTTCTGGGTATATAAGCAGGAGTGGAATTGCTGGGTTATATGGTAATTCTATAATTAAGTTTTTAAGGAACTGCCAAATTGTTTTTTACAGTGGCTGACCTTCAATTTCCGTATGAAATTTACAATCAGCTTGTCAATTTCTGCAAAGACACAAGCTAGGATTTTGATAGAGATTGTGTTGAATCTGTAGATCAATATGGGGAATATTGCCATCTTAAAATATTAAGTCTGATCCATAAATATGGGATATCTTTTCATTTATTTATGTTTTCTTTAAATTCTTTCAACAATGCTTTATGGTTTTCAGAGTATAAACTTTGTTCTTCTTTTATTAAATTTATTCCTAAATATTTTGTTCTTTTTGATGGTATTGTAAATGGAACTGTTTTCTTAATTTCATTTTCAGATTGTTCATTGCAGTGAACAATCATTGTACAGAAATATAATTGATTTTTGTACATTTGCCGTGTATCCTGCAAGCTTGCTAAACTCATTTATTAGTTCTAGTATCTTTTGAGTAGATTTCTTAGGATTTTCTAGAGACAAGATCATGTTATCTGTAAATAGAAATTCTACTTTTTGCAAAGGAGAATGAAGAAAACCAAAGACATAAGGGAAAGATTAGCCCAAAGGACTAATGGACTACAACTACCACAGCCTCCACCAGACTGAGTCCAGAGCTACTAGAAAGTGCCCAGCTACCACCACTGACTGCTCTGATAGGTATTACAATAGAAGGTACTGGACAGAGTGGGAGAAAAATGTAGAACAAAATTCAAACTCACAAAAAAAGACCAGACTTACTGGTCTGACAGATACTGGAGAAATCCCGAGAGTATGGCCCTCGGACACCCTTTTAACTCAGTATGGAAGTCACTTCTGAAGTTTACCCTTCAGCCAAAGATTAGATAGGCCTATAAAACAAGTAATAACACATATAGTTCAACTATGTATACGAGACTAAATGGGCATATCAGCCCAAAAGGAAAGACGAGATGGCAGGAAGTGACAGGAAAGCTGGACAAATGGAAACGAGGAATCCGAGGTCAAGAAGGGGAGAGTGTTGACACATCACAGGGTTGGTAACGATGTCACAAAATAATTCGTGTATTAGTTGTTCAATAAGAAAATAATTTGCTCTGTAAACCTTCACCTAAAGTGTGTGCGCATGTGCACACACCCACACACACCCACACACACACACACAAAGGAGTTTTACTTCTTCTTTTCCAATCTAAATGCATCTTATTTCATTTTCTTGCCTAATTGCCCTGGCTAGAACCTCTAGTACGATGTTGGAGCTTCAACTTTTAAAGATAGGAATTGGTCTGTCAGAAGTGCTTGTTTTTTTCTGATATCTTTGGTATTCTTAATGATCTTAATATGCTAATGCAAGGAAGGAATGCAACATATTTTTCACTGGCAGATGAGATTAGAAGACAAAAATGAAAGTAAGAAACTTGGAAGAACAGAGATTTTACATGCTGTTATGTTATGTTCCATATTTTAACAATAACTATCAGTGAAAGAGGCAATGAACTTGACATTGCACATCTGTGAAAAGTCATCATTAAATATTTAACAAATGTGATAGGACATTCTGAATTTTATTTTCCCTCAAAAGACGATCCCTACATAAAATAATAATGGCTCTGGAATCCATTTTCTTTTTCATTGAAAGATAATTTAAAATTTAACTATTACTTTACAAGATAAATTGTTGGAACTGGCCACTGATAAGGATGGAACATAAATTTTGAAAATATATAATAATTTCATTTTGGATAAAAATTAAGAATAAATACCCTGAGTTTGCTAAAATTACTTCAAATTTCTTTTTTTGTTTCCATCAACATACCTCGGTGAGGCTGGTCTTGTTATCATGAGAACATAGAAATTTTTTTTAGATATAAAATTTCTCCTGCAACTGGTCAGTCCAACCTGGTTTAGATGCATGAACAAACAAGAAGCAAACTCGTCTGTCACATCAACAACTTTAAGCATTTATATACAGTGTATTCATTCAAAGTGTGCTTACCGGCATTCACTATTCAAATAGCCATTTCACTCGTAACTTTGGTTTTAGTTACAGTTGTGGAACAAAGAGTTACCAGCGTAATAGCCATTTCCTTTAATATATTGGCAAATATTCTCTGAGCAAAGTGTACAATTTCTTAAATTATTTCCTATGTAATGCTGGTTCTATTTATTGAAATGTAATTTTACGTCTGTTAAATATAATTTTTTAAAACGGATTTGCATTTCCAGTGATTAGTTTTTATCTTCTTTTACTGAGTGTCAGTGACAGATTTAAGAAAAACAAAAACCCAAAACTGGCCCTTCACGGTCGACGAGAGAAGCACTAGTCGAGAGAGCTAGGCTGCGCTCCTTGGGTGCAGAAGATGCATTTTATTCAAATTTGTCTGACAGTGGAGGTTAGGCAAACATTTATTGAATCAATGAATTTTCAGTTCCCCTGCACTGGGTAAGAGACTTTCATCATGTCTGTATAATTCCTCAGTGATCAGACTTGCTGGCACTTATGGGAGCCCTGGTGGCGCAGTAGTTAAGAGCTCGGCTGTAACCAATAGGTCAGCAGTTCCAACCCACCAGTCGCTCCTTGGAAACCCTATGGGGCAGTTCTACTCTGTCCTATAGGGTCGCTATGAGTCCAAATCCACTGCACGGCAACAGGTTTCTGGCTTACTGAGATTTACTAAACGCCTGTACTGAGCTGTTTGCCTTGGCCCCGCCCCTTCCACGCTCACTGTCTCCTCCTCCCTGGGGAGGGGGCGGGGCCAGCACCGCGGACGCCCCGCCCTTTCTGTGTATTCGTTGGTCGAGCACGACGCCCGTTACTGCAGAGTCCCG